TGGTGGGCGTATCTGGTACGTATGCATATATATATTAAAAGTTGTATTTAAATTTTAAATCAAATTCCTCCGACAGAAAAGCATTGTCAAACGAGGTGGAAGTCTCTGAGGGACCGCTTCGTCCGGGAGACTGCTGCATTAAAAGGGCGGTCGGGGGCTGCTGCTGAGGAAATGCGAACATGGTCGCACATGGAGGCAATGAGTTTTTTAAAAGATCATGTTGCTCCTCGAAGGTAAGTTTATCAATGAAACATGCAGTGACGGTGTACTCAATTAAAAATAGTTAACTGAAATGATTGTGCCGTTTGCACTGGCAATCTAAAGTGAGTGCATGGTGTTTTTTGTATATAAGTATATAAGTATAAGTTTGTGTATAAGTGTATATATAAGTTCTGTATAAGGTATGAAAGTCTGACTTATGTGGTTTTGATTAAAACATGAACCATATTTTTATAAGGAAATAACCATTTTAACTTGAAAAACATTGCAAATATTAAAAAAAAAAACACCACGCTCTTTTGGTTGCCAGTTTAGTTTTTCGATGACATAAATATATAATATGTATTAATAACATTTTTCTTGTTTACTTGCAGAACGTTTTCGAGCCTGGATTTCTCCCAAACGGATGGGGATACAATTAACAGCAACATACAGGACTCAGAGGTGGAGAATTGCGAAGAAATTAGTTCTCCAAGAGCCTCTATTGACGCTAGCTCCATAAAAAAAAAAAACCGGCCCGAATGGAAGACAAGGCAAATGAGAGATTTGGGTCACTATGTGATGTAGTGAATAAATTCGTAGAAAGGCAATCTGAATCCGAAAGCTTTGATAAAAGCCGCAATTACGAGTTCTATAAGGTTCTGGATAGTTACTTATTAAAGCATTCAGAACAGATACAAGATACATTGAAAATGGAAATATTAAACTACGTATTCAATTACAATTGTGTTTAATTTTTTTTTTGTGAGCCGGTGCTTTAATAAATAGCTTTCTAGAACCTTAGAAAACTGAATTTTTTTAGCTATTATTAAAGCTTTCGGGTTGCAGTTAATTGTTACTATTGTGCTGTTTGCGAATCCGTAATTGATAACTTTCTGAAATTGTTTTTGTACCTTACACTTATTTGCACCTGTGTTCAAAAAAATACTTTGTGAAATTGTTTTTGTACCTGTGTAATCGTAACTTATTTACACCTGTGTTCACAAATATTGGAGTAGAATTCAAAATGAAATTTTGTGCAACCTAAGAATATTTATTTTTAATAATTTTCATTCAAATTCTAGTTTATAGTAGATTCGAAACTTGGATTTAAACGTATTCGGTTATAAATAAAAATATGATTTAAATGAAAATTATTAAAAATAAATATTCTTAGGTTGCATACAATTTCATTTTGAATTCTACTCCAATATTTGTGAACACAGGTGTACAACTTAGTGAAATAGTCTTTTTTAAATAAGGGATTCAATCCTCTTAATTTATGTTTTTAAATAGAGCACTGAATCCTCATAATTTATGTTTTTAAATAGAGCACTGAATCCTCATAATTTATAGTTAGGTGTTTTTTGTTGTGCCTTGTAATTATAAAATAAAAAGTTAATGTTTATACATACACACGTATGTACAATATAATACTAATATTTTATTTAAAATGTATGGTGTTTACAGTGAGTATGATTAATTTAAAAACCAATTTCGGAATTAAAATAGTGGTACATATTAAAAATTTAAAAATTAATGTTTACTACAGCCCGCGACAAAAGATAGCACATCAATATTTTGACCAGTTTTTACTACTTTTCTTTTGTCTTTAACATTCATTTATTTTTTATTAAATTATAGTTCTTTATCCAGCAAAAGCCATATAAATCTAAATTTAAAAATTTGTAAAATTGTATATGTTATAAAACAGCATACTAAAAATGATTAGAAATTCTAATAAATATGATTGAAATTGGTATGAAAAGTTTGTGAAATTTGGATTTTTAGCTAATGAGCTATAATTTTATAGAAAAATAATGAAGAAAGAAAAGATATATAGTCAAAACTGATCAAAATTTTGATGTGCTACCGTTTTGTCGCGGGCTGTATCTTGTTGTATCGTTTTTGTATGTGCTTAAAAAGCAAAACAAAAATGATGTGCTAATCATGGCTATCACAGAATTCATCGTAGTCCGATTTTTCGTGGAATCTACGAAAATGCTATCCTTGAATTCGATTAGCTACGAACGTAGCATATACTTTTAATTCACTCCTTCGTTTTAATTCGGATCCAGTGATCGCATTTTCGTAGATTTCACGAAAAATCAGACTACGATGGATTCTGGGATAGCAACCAATACTAATTAATAAAGAATGAATTTATGAAAAAATAGGTAAAAAAAGTATAGTTTAAGAACAAATTGATGAAAGAGAATATTATTATTTAATTAATAGGGTGCGCGGTTATGTAGTCTTTTAACTGATCCCTCAAATTGAAAGCACTTCTGGCGGCATTGTTCGCCATTAATCGACCAGTTCCTCGAAGGGGCGTTGTAATTTCCTGACGCCATAAACCACCGATAATATTGTCTCCTTGTTATTGGTCGACAAATTCTGGTGGGCAATAAGCGCCATCGTGCATTTTTAAAAAGTTATGTAATAGCACTGTTGCTTTGACAATGCTCTCGGCAATCGTTGGATGCATTTGCAATGGGGACAGAAGAATTCTCCAGCGAGCTGTCATAATTCCAAACGCGTTTTCTATAACGCGCCGAGCTCTTGAAAGACGCTTATTGAAAAGTTCGCGGTCAGGCGACAAACGTATTCCTAAAAAGCGTATATGTATGTTTAGAAAAACGAATAAAATTTCAATAGGTAAAGTATATGCAAACCTGGATATGGTCGCATAATATAGCTTTTTAAGGGAAATGCTGCATCTCCAACAAAAAAATGAGGAAATCTAAGGGTGGAGTGTGGCAGAATATCATCCTCGGGAAGGTCTAATTGGTTGTTGAAAAGTCTTCTCCCAAAGCTCGAATTGCACAATACACCACCATCACTTTGAGAGCCATATGCACCAATATCGATGCAGGTAAACGTGTAATTAGCATCGAAACATGCCAAAAGTACGATGGAGTATGTTCCCTTGTAGTTGTAAAATAAGGATCCCGAGCTAGGAGGGCACTTTAATATTATGTGCTTTCCGTCAATAGCACCTACACAATTGGGAAAGTTCCAAATCGAATTGAAATCGTTTGCAATACGTTTCCATTCATGTCGGTTTGGTATAGACAAGTATATGCCACCCAGTTCATCCCAAAGAACCTCACATGTTTCCAAAACGATTTTATTTGCCGTGGAGCGTCCCATTTTATATGATATGGCGAGCATGTGCTGACTACCTCCATGTGCTAAATAACTATAAATATACCAAGTTCATTTCTATTTTGTCAAAAGATTATAGGTTAATGTCTTTAATTTCCTTACTTCAAAGTTAAAAAGAGTCTTAATGCGGCAGGTATTGATGGCCTATTGGAATGCTTAGTAAGACGCTCTCCTACAAGTCCGAGGAGATGGTCAAACATCGTTCTGCTCATTCTAACCGTTTTTTTGAACTGCTCAGTGTCATTATTATACATTTCTTCAAAACTTGATGCAAATAGTCCATTGATATCCCGACTTAAGTAAAGTGGTCTCACCCAAGACTCCCGGCGGGAATTTATTTTTCGCAAACATTCGCGAGTCTCGTACATCATTAGTGCAATTAAAATGACTTCAACCGCTTCTTTAGACAACATTTTAATTGCGATAGCTTTAAAAAACAAACACACTTTAAATTATATTTTCACTGCAAAATTTTCGCTTTGGTGATGACAATGAAAACAATAGATGTCAAAGCGTTCATTGTAGCAAGCATACTTTTAACGTGCGTTCTGTCAAACCAACGCCAACGCCAAAGCCAACGCGAAAGTTCTATGTGGACCGGCCTTTAGACGTACATACTATGTTAAACTAAGACTTTAATGCAGAAATCATAGGTGTGAAAATTCGTTCCCTTCTATTCCGATGTGCCCAGGTAACCACATAATTATACCTTTCATGAGCATGAAATGGTATTATAACTTTGGTCCGATGTTTGTAAGTACCAGAACAAACAGAGATAGACCCATTAAAATGTATACTTATATGATCAGAACGTCGAGCTGAGTTGATTTATCCATGTCCGTCTGTCCGTCTGTCCGTCTGTCTGTCTGTTTGTATGCAATCTAGTCTCTCAGTTTTCGAGATATCCGGATCAAATTTAGTAGGTGGGTGTATTTTTATAATGTATTAATCATTTGTCGGAACCGGAAGAATCGGACCACTATAACATATAGCTCCCATACAACTGACTGTTCAGATATGAGCTTTTTCGTTATAACTTCTCCACTTATGCAGCTACGAACATGAAATTTTGCAGCACTTGCACCCATTATCAACAGAATGCTTACGGTGGAAATTACAAAGATCGGTTCACTATAACCTATAGCTCCCATACAACTGATTGTTCAGATATAAAATTTTTCGTTATAACTACTCCATTTATATAGCTGGGAACAGGAAATTCCGCACTGTTTTCAATAATTATCAACAGAAAACTTTCAGTGAAAATTAAAAAGATCGGATAACTACAACCTATAGCTCCCATACAACTGATTGTTCAGATATGAGATTTTTCGTTATAATTCATCCATTTATGTAGCTAGGACCATGAAATTTTGCACTGTGGTCACTCATTATCAACAGAAGACTTACAGCGAAAATAACAAAGATCGGGTCACTATAACCTGCAGCCCCCATACAACTGATTGTTCAGATATGAGGTCTTTTATCATAACTCCTCCATTTATGCAGCTAGGAACATGAAATTTCGCACCATTTTCACTCATTATTAACAGAATACTTACAGTGAAAATAACAAGGATCGGATGACTACAACATATATCTTCCATACATCTGATTGTTCAGATATGGGACTTTACTGTAAAACTCTTTTATTTGAACAGCTAAAACCGATAAATTTCGTAAGATATTTTATAAATAATAATACAAAGTCTACTGAGAAAACCGTCAAAAACTATGCTGTACAAGCTTTATCTCCTATAGCACTGATTGTTCAGATACCAGTTTTTGCGATATATTTCCTTTGTGTAGGAAACTAAACCCAATAAATTGTGTTACCGGTTTACATACCGATCACATAGCAGTGAAAATCACTTAGATTGGTGCCATATAAAATATATCTTCCATACCTCTGATTGTTTAGATGCGATTTTTTATATAAGTATGTAACTCCTCTATCGATGTATGCAGATGTATTCAAAATCAGTAATCTGTCAAACTAAAATTTGCAGATGTTCATGAAAGGTATGAAGCCTTCGGCATAGCCGAAGACAGCGCTGCTCTTACTTGTTTTAAATGTGTTTTTGTGTCAAAAGAGTATTTCACGTGATTTCGAAATTATATGAGAATCATTAGCACTGTTAAAAGAGGCTTCGCTGGCTGGTTTACTGTCCGTTCAGATGAGGAAATTTCCTTCGTTTATAGAGGCTGATTCGGCTGTAAATGCCGAGCAGTACGGGGGAAAAGCACTGAAGACAATTGTAACACCCAGCCCTTTTGTTACCACCATATCTGGGGAACCGTCTGTGAAAATAAGCTCCCAGGTAATTTATGAGTATCAAACTGGGCAAATGCCCTTGCGGTAGAGTTTTTACTTTAGTAAGCATCGGATGATGTCGAAATCTTTGATGTAGCTTAATATACGAAATAAAGGTGATTGCTTGCTACATCAGTTTTTTTGTTGAAAGCAGGATTCGACGTGAGAGATAGCTTTTATTGGCGAGGTGGGAAATGCACGGATGCTTTTTCTCCTCTGCTACATAGTAAGGTGTTTCTAGCAATTTAAGATGTTTTTTGCGCAGTGTCCATAAATTACGAGCCCAAAGTCAACTTTTACATAATGACAGTTCTGCTTAAAAGTAGGTTTATTGTAAAAAATCATTCCAAATATTTTCAATGTATCAGTATAGGGCAGGGGTGTTAGACAAGGAGAGGGTTGGATGTATGTATTCATTTGTATTTTCTGCATATGTGAAAAAATTACTTTTTCAGCTTAAATCTGAGCTCCTGAAGATTTGGACCAATTGATTAGATCGTTTAGTATGTTAGAAAAAATAATTTTTACTTGCGTCAAGTCCTTAGTCTTAGAAAAAATTAAAATATCATTAGCGTATTTAGTTTGGCAATAGGAATAATAATAGCAGTTTCCCACTCTTGATGATATAACGCTTGAAATAAAATGTAGTTATGGAGTTTAATGACTCTATGTTTGATGGGATACGGATGATTTTTTAGAACGGGGTACGGGATTTTGTCTGCACCAGGGCTTTTGCCTGTCATCGAAGAGGTGGTTGGTCAAACTCTTAAATAGATATGAGTAAGAGAGAATTGTGGGAATCTTCGGACCAAGTGGAGGCAAATAAACATATACACATCGGTCATTTACTTTAGTAGTGTCATAATCCAAAAAATACAAATTTTGAGTTGAGTATGCAGAAATTATCGCTACGTCTTCTTCTATTTCGTGTAAAAATATCATAGCTGTATCGATTAAGCCCTGTATGCAGCTCTCAAGAAAACGGTCAAGAAAAAATTGCCATTATTTTGCGTGTGTGTCCAAGGAATTTTGACATTTTTTGATACTTCACAGCCTGTTGCCTCACTCTTTCCTCAAGAAATAATGGAACGGGCATATATTTCTGTTGCAAAACTAGGTTGCCTTATGCTCTTTCTTCACAAAAAACTTTAGAAAACCGTAGTAGAAAGCGTAGTAAATTTCTTAAGAACTGCGTACTGCCTTAAGGAAATTTGACTCAAGAAAATTTCTTAGCCATTTCTTGTACGTCATTTTATATGGAGCTTTTGATTTTCTTGAGAGCTGCATACAGGCCTTTACCAGAATCTCACTAGAATAAAATATGTATTCATTTTTAGTATCGGCGTATATGTAAATTCAAAACTTTAAAGCCGTCTTTCTCGAGTTTTGACTTTTTGAGTTATGACATTATTGTAGTAAATGAGCGGACATGTATATACCTGTAAGCTACCGGCCAAACCCGATCTTAGAATAAACTATTTTTGTAACTCTCATCATCAGTCCAACTGAAGCTACGCAGTCCACAAGATTTGGTTTCGGTTGGACATCGCATTAGGTAGAACAAGTTTAGCCTGGGCAAAACTAGTTTGACCTAAGATCGGATTATACCGGAACATATACATACATGCATCGGCACATGTAACTTACCCAGTCTTTATTTGACCTGCCACAAAAAAATGGTAATGAAAACGATTTTCCAGCAAAATTGTGTAGATAGAGGATTTTGCTTTTGTAACAAAATGTTATTGCAGATAGTGGATTTTTCAAAATGAGAATATAATACCATAAAAGCAAAATTTTAAGTTTGGCATTATTGTCATGGCTGAAGGATAAATAAGAGCTCACGTTACCATCAAAAACTCATTTTCATCAAAATTGTAGATAGAGGGTATTGAATATAAGCCCTCGATATGGTTTTAGTTTTGTTTTTTTTTTCAATGCTTATATTTTTAGTTTAATAAAATTTGTATTTCCTTTTGTACTAATTTAGTGTTTTGTTTTTGTGTAAGATTCACGAAAACAATTTTATTTTTATTTTTTGATTTTTTTGTTTTTTTTTTTTTCATTAAAATATATGTGTTCTTTAGAAAAAGTTCTATGTAGAATTGAATATTCCACTATATTTTGTGTAGTATCAGGGAATTTAAATTCCTTCACGGTTCGATTCGACTGTGCCAATAACATATGCTTGAACTTTGTACCGAAATAAAACAACCGACTTTTGAACTTAAATTCCGACGACCTTGTTTATTCGAAAGTATTATTCAAACAGGACTTAAAACTAGACATGCGCTTATATTTATAGAACTTACTTACGAACGTAATAACTTATGGACTAACGGTGCTTAATAACTAAGAGATAAACTATATTATGCTTGAAACACAATACCTGGCGAACGGCAAATTTCGCTCAGCAGAGCGATGCCAACGACCAACTTTCGCCCAGCTAATTCGCTTACTGAAACACAAATAGAGCGGTATCGAGCGGTTTGAATGCTGTCAGCTGATAAGGTGACCATGTTTCAAGAAGGAAGCTTTTACAACGAAGAGGGAAAATACCAGCAAGAAGAAGTTTAAAATATAGAAATAGTCTTTAAATATAACTACTAGTAAACTTACGTTTTACTAGATTAATCTCTGATGGAAAAATATAAGGTGTATTATTTTACTTTTAAACAAAAATTACGATAACTTTTAAAGTATGGTCATCATGGCCTTTTTTTGTCGTTGCCGTTGACCGCGGCGATAGAAATAAATCTATCGTCGCGAACAGTCGTCGAGCAAACTTCGTCGTTTGCTTTGATTGTGCGCGTTCTCATATAAATCAGTGTGTTTTAATTATTTCGGCGAACATTCGCGACGAAAAATTTGCCGTTCGCCGGTGTTGTGCTTCAGCTTTTACTGGTACTTATGTAAATAAATGATGAGTAGAAGGGAAGTAATTAAAAGAGAAGTAGGTAAGAGAGAAGCAGGGGAGTATTAAGATGTAACTCGTGTGCATAGAGAAAACTTATTTCGTTTAAGAATTTAACGAAGAAATGAATGCATGAGAAATTCTCTAGGAATTTCATTTGATATTATACATATAATATACATTATATATATATGATATACATGATATATAATATACAGCTGCGTGCAGTTAATTAGAAACGAGGTTGTGCATAGTAGGTTACGTAAATATTTTTTTATTTCCGAACTAAAACATTTACAAAGTTTATTTTAATAAACACTACGATATTACGCAAAAAAGAAAATAAAACTTACACACTTTTAGGAATAGCATTCCATGACTTCAAGGTCCTTTCATACAGTTCCTCAAAATTTCCGATTTTATGAGCTGCGATTTTCTTTTTTACATGTTGCCATAAATTCTCTATGGGGTTTAAGTCCGGGCTGCATGAACGCCAATCCAATAAGTTTATATAATTTTGAGAGAACTACTGTTTTGTTGCACCAGCCGTATGCTTCGGATCATTATCCTGTTGGAAAATCCATGTCACAGGCAAAATTTCCTCAGCATACGGTAGGAGAACGTTGTTGAAGATGGAAATGTATTGGAATTTGTCCATTATACCATCAATCGGGTGTAAAGGCCCAACGCCGCGCCATGACATACACCCCCAAAATATTTTGCTACCACCACCATGCTTAACAGTAGGGCGGGTGTATCTGGGATAGTAAGCAGAATTTTTTGGGCGACGTACATACGTTTTTCCATCAGATGAGATTCTATTTACTTTAGTTCGAAAACAACACTCCTTTCCATTATTTAACCGTCCAATTGCTGTATTTTATGGCGAACTCCAAGCGTCTTCTCCGATTTCTCTCAGTTATAAGGGGCTTCTTCCGCGAAACTCGGCCAAATAACCCAGCCTCTCTTAATCTTCGTTTTATTGTATCTTTGGAAGGTCTGTTCTCATTTTCACCAAATACGGATGCTCTTATTTCATTTGCTGTTTTTTGCGAAAATTTTTTAGATTCTCTTATTATGAGGCTGTTTCGTGAGCGGTTGTTTTTCTGGATCTACGCTTTCGTGGAACATTTATAAATGTGGAATATCTTTTGAAATGATGCACAGCATTAAAGCCATCTTTTTGGATATGCCTAAACTGTTTGCAATGGAACCATATGATTTTCCATCATTGTGCATGTGTACGATAATTTTTCGGGTATTTTCGTCGCAACTCTTATTCTTTCCCATGTTTTCCTTTTAGAGGATGATAGATGGATGTTAGATAAATAACAAAATATCAAACAATATGGTTTACCGTTTAAAATAGTCAAATAATATAAAATAATATCCGCGTTTCTAATTACGTGCACGAGCTCTCCTGACGCCAACTAAGAAAAAACTAACCAAGTAACGTTGTAATTCAAGCAAACTGCAAAACAATTTCTATGAATCCTCTCGCATGTATTTCAAGTATTTTGACATTTAATAATCAAAGGCTACTAGAAAGTTCGCGGATTTATTCAAATATATGAAGTGCTGATAACCTCGTTTCTAATTAAGTGCACGCAGCTGTATGTAAATGATAGTTGCGATCCCGTACGAGTCCGGACTAGTCAGAAATAGTCAGAATCAGTCAGATTTTACTGGAAATCGATCCCGTACTCGGCTCTCTGACTATTGAGAGGACAAAAAAGAGAGTAAATATGGTTCTCTCTCTGTCAGAAGTTACCAGTTTTAGTCCGAGAATTTTTTGCTGGTAAATTCTGGTAAATGTGTCAAACGATCAGCTGTAGTGTGTTTGGCAACCAAATTGTATACAAAAGAAAAGTGCAGTCTGCTAATTCATGTTGAAAAGTATTTAGTTACTTGTTTAAGTGGATTCTAATGACTTTGAAAGTATTTTTGGTTATTTAAATTTGTGAGCTGAGTGTGTTTACATACAAAATAAGCAAATATTTACAACCAAAATTTGGAGGTTATGCTGAAGTTGACAGAAAATACCATTTTTTACTAGAAAGCGATCCCGTACTTTTCAATATTACTCTCTCGCTCTGAGCAAATTTTTATTTTTTGACAGTTTTACTAGTCCGAGTCCGAGGAATACGGGATTGCACCTGATAATATACATATACATACATTCATTATGTAAATAAAGACGCCTAAACGTATACCACAAATCTGTTTCTTTTCGTGTTGTATCTTTCAAGCATTTGTGCAAAGAAGTAATGTCGCAAAACTCATAAACTTCAATGGACAATATCTCAGGTTTAAAACAAGATTTCTCGTTGAGTTAAACAGCATTATCAAGCGGAAATATCTTGCTTTCAAATGGTTTATTAAATTTTCTAAAAAAACGAACTATTCGTGATGAAAATACATGACGAATATAGCTAAAAGTCGGGGTTTTCGCATGTTTAGGCTCAAATATCTCGAAAACCTGAGGCAATCGAGCAAAAGTGGTTCTGGATTCAGATTCAGCGCAACAAACGCCTTTAGAAAAGTATAATCTAGTCCCAGGGTCTGAACTTTTTTTAAATTGTGTAGGCCTGTGTTATCATAGTTCAGTGTATGTATAACTTGTTATATTACACCGTAAATGATAATTAACTGTTAAATACTGAAAACGCTAGTAACTTTACGTAAACTGCAGCTCCGGTCCATATCGTCATCCGAGTGGTGAACTTGTATTTTTCTTAGAAATGCAAGAGCACGTGAATTTGTAAACAAACTTTTCTTATAATTTTAATAGATAATTGCTATTTATTTTCTAATATTCAGATATCCAGCTTGTAGCCAGAGGCAGTGGCATGTGAGGCTCACTAAAATCTACTCATCATGTTGGAGCTGCTGGCTGAACGTATGACCGCCATAACCAACGGAGTCTACAAGCAAATGCATGTCCTGAATTTATACAGCAGCTATTCATAGCAATTACTATTGCATATGTGTATGATTCATATTTGTGACATTCTATACTTTGATGTTAATTTTTTTTGTGGAGCTCCCGGTAATGGTCACTTAAACTTGTACTTAATGAATTGTCTGCGCGGATGCGCTGGCAGGCATTGGGGTCTGTATAACTATACAAACATTTTTTTTTTTTGGAATAAAGACTTATGGCCTTATTATTTATTCGGAAATTTAGAATTTTGCTTGATAAATTCACACAATAACACAAAATTCACGTTTTTCATAAAAATATAATCTTACAATGAACATTTTTTTCTTAATTTTAAACTTATTTTTAAGAAGACTCCATTCAGTGCTATAATTACGATTTGAGTTTTCCAGTTTATAAGACACAAGCTTTAATTATTTGCATACTTAACTATTGATATTTCTTCATGAAGCATGAATATAAGCATAATTATTTTGTTCATAAATGACATATAATTATGTTTATTTTATCCTCGAAAAGAAATTTTTCTAATCATGAGGCGAAATTCCCCACAGTAAGTGTTGCCGTGTGCGTAAAACGAAAACGCTGCACACAACCCAAAAGTACTCCTCGGGGACCAATTGGTGCAAAACTGGGAAAAGGTTCATTGCTGTATATATTGTGGTCGAACGTTTCATCGTGGAGGCTGAATTTTCCGAGTGTGGTTCCAAAAATTCCTTCCTTGCCCACCCTGACATTGAAGTCGCTAAGCACGATTTTGATATTGGCGGGCGCAGCGCTCGTACGTGCGCTCATAGAAGAGATCCTTGGATACTTCATCCTTCTCTTCTGTCGGGGCATGAGCGCAGACGAGCGAGATGTTGAAGAATCTCGCTTTGATGCGGATTATGGCTAGACGCTCGTCCACCGGGGTGAACGCTAGTACTCGGCGACGGAGCCTCTCTCATCCAACGAATCCAACACCGAATTTGCGCTCCTTTACGTTGCCGGTGTAGTAGATGTCGCAAGGCTTCACGCTTACCTTGCCTTGCCCCGTCCATCGCATTTCTTGGATGACAGTGATGTCAGCCTCTAGTCTCATCCGAGGCTTTTCGTTCCTTTTTATTGGGCGGGGTGTTAACGTGGTAGAACCCGAACCCAGCACACGCGAAGTTTTGCGCGTTCTCCGTTTAGCTCGCTTCTAAACGGATGTTTGGTCGCTGCCCAGAGGATACGTGGATATAAATATTCGGACGTTTTGAGTTGCGATTTGAACCGTACGCACAAGAATTACTTCTGGCCACTCCGAGGTGAATGACAGTAAAAAGTTTTTCCCACTTACGTGGACTTCTGCATACGGAACCATCCTCCCACAAACACATTTTCACTTGCACTAAAAAATTGTATGTTATCAGAATTTTTTAAAAAGCCGCAGATCTCTCACCATAACATTTCTCTGTCTTCTCAGGCCCTTTTTGGCGAAAAACTTTTACGATCTAAATTTTTTTTCATGAAAGCGTGATTTTTAACACTATACATTATATACACTGCCGGAACAAAGTATTGGCACAGCAAATTTTTCACAATATATGCAACAGTTTTTATTCTAATATTTTTCCGCCAATTTTGTATAAAAATATGGTTCATCAACAAAAAAAAAACATAAAAATATAATTCTTAAACTTTGTGCAAAATTCGCGAAAATTCAGCAAATTTTTGATCAACTCAATTTCAACTTTTTAATCCGATTTTTTAGAATTTTTTTGAGTATGCAGTTTTGCAGCCCATAAAATTCTAGTAAAAAAATGCAAGTTCGGAGTTGGTCAAAAATCGCGTTGATTTTTGAGATTTTTTTTTTGTTGAAGGGGTTTTGCATTTTTTCCATATAAAGTATTTTGGAAAAAAAATTTTAAATGATTAAAAAGTTGAAAATTTTCATGAAAACTTGCTGAATTTTCGCGAATTTCCCACAATGTTTAGGAATTATGTATTTATAATTTTTGTTGTAGAATGAAGCATATTTTATACGAAATTATCTGTAAAATATTAGAATGAAAATTGTTGCATATATTGTGGAAAATTTGTTGTGCCAATACTTTGTTCCGGCAGTGTAACTCATCAAACTTTTGAATTTGCTTGGGAAGTGGGCTGATTTCCTTTGCATGTATGCAGCGTGAGCAGTCTAATGTATTCACATTAGGGTAGTCCTTAAAAAATCAAATTAGCAATGTTTTCCAGTCTCGCCCCTTCAATCGGTAACACCACGGGCACAAATACCACATATAAACTTTGGTTCTGATTGGAGACGGTTAAGGCGTGACGCACAGGGGGCAAAGTGCAGATACCTCTATACAGACTAAAAAAAATTAATTTTTTTTCGTCTAATACCGAAAATCGATACTACCTACCATAGTCGAAGATATCACATATAAATTTAGGTCCCGATTGGAGTCGGTTAAGACAAAGGGGTCAAAGGCCATTTACCTCTATGGGCCCAAAAAATTAAAAGTATTTTTTTTTTTTCATTTAATACCCAACACCGATACTATCAAAGTCGAGAATATCTCCCGATTGGAGTCGACTAAGACGTCTTCATAGGGTAATCTGAAATTTTACCCCTATGCGACACGCCTTAACCTACTTCAATGGGGACCAAAATTTTGGTGTGATATCTTCGACTATAGTCGCATCGACGTAGGGGTAGACGTTTAGGAAATCTGATGTAAAAATGTGCTTCCTTCATTTAAGGATGACCCTAATGTACATACATATGCATTTACCCATTTCCAGTTTATGTTTACTTGCTGCCTTTTTTTGGGTTAAAATAAATAGATAACGGTTTATAAATAAAACACACAAACTGGCAATTGGCTTATCTCGCTTATGCAAATAAATGATCTTACCTACTGCAATCACTCTGAAAGCACTCAAACTGCAAATAATGGCTCCTACTATATTTCTTAAGGTACGCATGTTCATAAGTTTTAAAATTAAACTTTTTTTTTAAATATTTTCTAATTAAGGAATTATTTAAGGCTTTGATTTCAAAACACTACGCAGTGAAGTCACGTATAAATCAAAACTGTGGGAAATCGCTTTAAACACATTGGATTTAAAGCAAATTTAAAGCTGTCATCTGAGCTAGAGAGATTCGTTAACGAGCGACCGAGAGTAAAACACGAATTTCTTTGCCATCATTAGCTTTGTTCCACACGCTTTCCGGGCTGTTACGGTAATTAGAGCGTAAAAAAAAGTTACTCTCTCACACGCTTTCCGGGCGTAAAAAAAGTTACTCTCTCACAAGTGTCAAAGCTCAGTTAGTCTAGACTTAACTTAATTTAACTTACCGTAAGAAATTGTCAATGATTACTCAACACGTCAACTTAAGCCAAAAGCGAAAATATTTTGTTTTTGTATTTTCTTTTTCAGCTTTTTAACAGTACGCCGCCTAAAATGCTACATCAAAAAAAATCGTGCAAAAAAAAAATGTTTGCGTTTATTTATTTTTAAAAAATACAAAAACTAGAGTCTGGCAAGCCTGATTCTCTCACCGCTCTCAATTTCGGAAAGGCCGTAACTTAAGAACCTAAAATCTACAAGTTCTTAAGTTTCTTACGGTAAGTTCTAACTAACCGCCAACATGGTTTCTCATATAACAGGTTGGCCAAAATATTAAGTTAAGTTAAGTTACCGAAGTTAAGTGCAAACTAACTGAGCTTTCAGAAATGTATCAACACGTGCCAAAACTGTGTGAGGAAGGCAAAAACTACATTTCGTGCCCGGAATCAACAAATCAGCTCTAAATAACGATTTTATGTGTATTAATCTTATATGGCTAATAAAATGAGCAAATAACTACATTTTCAGAAAATTCTGTGTTATTTTCCATTTTTGTGTTTCGGGCACGAAGAAGAAGACATTTTATAGCGTGAGGAACGCTTTCTGGGCTGTTTTGGGCACCCGCGGAATCCCGCGGCCTCGTGTGGAACAAACCTATTACACAGTGCTACAAAAAAGCACAAAGCAGAAATACATGGGAAGTTATGTACATTTTCTGGTAGGTCTTTTTGAGTAAAACCAGAATCGAAATACATATGAAACTTGCCAAACACCCCCAAAATCTTGATACTTGATACGTACTTTTGCGCACATATAAACCTGTAACTTGTTGATTATGAACCGAGTTTAAAGATAATAAAGAAGCCTTAAGAGATCTGTCTGTATTTACCCAGCAAACACATTTTTTTTAACTTTTTTTGCTTTATTAAAATTAGGTGAGGTTTTTACGCAGTATTTTATTAGAAAACCATACCAGTCCTAAATTTATTGTAAAACTAAATTTAAAAAACTGGTGTTTATTTTCAAAAATCAGATGAAAGTTTACCGAGTTATAAAACTTTTTATGAAAACAAAATTTTTTCAAAAATATTATTTTTGACTATACTACTCACAAATGCTTTCTTGACCGTTTTTTCTTAATTCAGTATCATCAGTTTCTCGCTGTAGTGACCAGCAATATACTGAAATCATTTTTATTTTATTTTTTCTCCGAAAGGTTTTTTAATTGTACATAGTTATTTCTTAGAGAAAGTGTTCGCCTTGTTTTTTGAGTTGAAGACTGCGTAAAAACTAATAAAATTAAGTGCTGTGGTTAAATTGCGACAGCCGTCAAGATGCAAGATGCGTAGATGGAAGTGTAGCGCTTCGACGAATCGCTGCGTTTTGTGTATATAGGGTGCGGCAAAGCCGTTCCTGAAATGTTTCTTTTTTGTTATATTGACAGAATTTCATCAAAATGATTTCGCTTTTGCTCCAAGCAGCCCCCTTTAGCAAGTTAGCTAATCAATCCCGCTGAGATGCTGCCGCAGTTTGCAGCAGCAGCCTTAATTGCAAAGCGATGGAGTGCACTAAAACGTTTGCTGCAGCAGCCTCAATTGCAAAGTAATGGAGTGCACTAAAACGTTCACTATTCGCTAATAGATTAGGTGAAAAATGCAATATTTTCGCATTTAGCAAAATTAAAAACGTTTTTTGCTGTAAAGTGAACTGTTTTGGCTGTTTCAACTCGTCCTTCTTTTCGCTCCATTCTTTGTTTACTTGTGGTACACAAATGTCAACGGCCAGGACGGCGCAATCTTGTATTCTATCATTCTTGCAAATGGTGCGATGGTAAGAGGAGTGTTCGCTATGCAAAAAATTTGTACAAGTTGGTACCAATTGTTACCAAATCGTGTTCGTTTAGCCAAAAACCCAGTAAAACTTGCAAGGAGAGAGCACAATTTTGACATTTCATTTGGAGGGGAAGTTGCAAATTCGTGCTGGGAAAATTTTTGCCAGTAAGAATTTGCAAGCAGGATTGTGGCACACGGTTGCATTTTTGTCAGCATTAATTTGAATCAACGAGTTCGTTAAATTTAAAAATTAACAATCTTGTTGCGATTTACCTATGAAAGAAGTATGTAAATATTCATTTATTCAATTCATTTAATTAATTCCAAACATTTGAAAGGTACTCGGCTGAAAAAGCTGTATTCGTAATCGGAACGCACTCGACACCACTGTCGATATAAGAAATCCGACAGTAACTTCCACAATGAAATTGAAGCGTATGTTGAAGAAAGTCAGAATAAGAAGAAATATACGTATAGGTCCTGTTTTGGTTTCCACCTGAAATCAGTGTTGCCAGAATGTTTTTGTACCCCATCCCCATGTCGTGCCGCAGTTATCCCCAAAAAATGTGCATTTTTCTTTTAAATCCCCATTTAAATCCCCTTTAGTAAGAAATAAAAAAAGCATGTATTCACATTTGTGTTAGTTCATTTTAATCCAGTTTTCATTTTAATACAGTTTTTATTTTAACACAGTTTTCATTTTATTACAGTTTTGAATACTTTTCTCTACACATTTTCACAAATTTAAATATTTATATGTACATACGTACATACGTACATATGTACATATGTACATTTATGCATGAGGTCATTTGGTTATACGTACAACTATGGTCAGAGATTTAGCACCAAAATTCAAAGTTATATGTTTTTACAACATATGTTTATTTATTTATTTTTACTAATTTTTTAAAATATAATTCAATCTACAACAGAAACAGCATAAATAAAAGTTTAAAATCAGAAAGTAATCAAACTTTTTTAGTGTAGTAAAGTACAGGTCTCAAATAGCTAAAGAATACCATTTATTTTTTAGAAAATTGTTTGTTCAGTGAAAGCCAATCAAATCAGACATCTGCGCCGAATAATGCTTTGACGGCTTTAGGAAAACCTTACAAACATATCGCGCAAAAAGCATGTACTAATAAAATCTTTATGCGAGAAATTTTTATGGGCAGCCAGAAAAATATATGTTTTAATGTCAATATCAAAGTTTTAAACCAAACAAAAATCCCCATAAAATCCCCACATCCCCAAACGAAAAAATCTATCCCCAAATGGTTTCATAAATCCCAAAAATGGGGCAAAATCTCCACATCTGGCAACTCTGCCTGAAATAATTAAAAAAATTGATTATGCTCCAAATGCAACCGTGGACGCCAGCTGGCAGTGAAGCTTGCTAATGTTTGCTAATTCCTGTTCGCGCAAAACTTAGTAAGTTTCTCTCTTTAGGAGAGTAAGGTACCTTGTTCTCTGAATTTTGTTACTGGCTAATTCTTACTGGCAGTTGCATAGCGAACACTCCTAAGTACATATATCCAACAGCTGTTTTTTCCAATGTGGAACGTGTACACCTGTGAATGTTTAAAACAATACTCAGACTCCACTCCGTTGTGAAATGGGTTACGTACGCGTTGAAAAAAGTATTTAGATTTACTCCTCTAGTCCGTTTTTTTTTGCATATACTCCAGAAAGAAAATTTTAATTTGAGACAAAAAGCTAAGTTCGGATGAGGAGAATCGTAATGAAGTTATTCAATATAACGTGAAATTAACATGTTTAACTATTCTAACTTCATACACAAACTAAAACAAAATTTCCATGAGCTGTTTTCGGTTTAAGTAAAAAATTGTTACTAGATCCTCTTGTGAAATACTCCAATTTTGTGTTAGTATGAATGCGTAAAAAAAAAATGAAAATCTACTGCTATGAACTTTGTTTTTACTCCGATTGTTAGAGTGATTTCTTCTGAAAACTTTCAGGAGTCCGAACCCTGGTATGCATACATGACAATGAAGAAAATTCATTAACTCTATTGGAAGGGTCATTCATATCCACATTTCCTTTCCTTGACTCATTGATGTACATATACTGACGAAGATTATTACGCAAGCAGAACGGGTAATTTGTGAAAGAAAGCAAATATTACTAGTAATTAACAATTACTTTTATTTTTCAGAGTAAAAGGACAAACGGGTTTACTTGCCCGGTGACTAGCATTTACAGTGCAAACGAGACCCAAAGGGAATACCCAAAACCAAACACCAGTAGCCAAAGCACATGTGTCGAGGTCAGCTTATATATCCATACATATGTACCTTTGGGCGAGGGTTCTGGGTACTGGCCTTAACCTATGTTAAGAATTGTAATGAGATTTCAGACTCTACGTTTTCAGTTCAGCGTTTTATTTAACAATATGACTTATTTTTAATATTTTTTATTGAGCTTTGTACCACGATTGTTTATTA